CCTCATCTTTCTCCCGCGAAGCAGCTGGTAGTTTCGAACTGCTGACCTTGCGGTTCACAGCCCGAGTCGTAACCACTACGCTACCAGAGCTCCTTAACCACTACGCTACAGACTATAAAAAATAAATCCTGCTTCTCCCCTTCTTCACCTTCCACCCCAGAGAGCCTTTAACAACTACCAATACAATCCTGATGTGGCACTGTAGGATAAGCAGTCAAGAGTTCAAACCCACCAGCCGCTCCTGTACAGGGTCGTTATGAGTCAGAACTGGCTCCACGGCACTCAACAAGACAATACTGTGAATTCGTGGAGTGCCGGGGAAAGGAGATCCTTTACGACCCCTCCTCAATCGCCAGCGCAAGAGCGGCTCTCTCTTGTCTCCGCTCGGCCGGAGGGCGGCCTCACACTTTACTCAGTTCACCGCGGACCTTACCGCCGCCCCGAGCGAGCGCTTCTTACTGAGTCCGCTCGCTACTTCCGTGTTTTGTCTCTCGGGACCCTTTTATTCCATTGCTTTAACCCAGGAAAAAGAAGGACAGACTAATCAAATGAAAGTCCTCACCGAGTTCACCGCATCTTGCAGCTGCGTGAGCCTATCCGCCATATTGCTCCTTCATGCAAAAGCGAACGGTAAAGCAGCTCCTCACGTGTGATTGGACGGTTTATGGACACGTGATGGCCAATCACAGGGCTGCATACTTGGAAAGGGTGGTATCGGGAAAAATTCGTCCGAGGGGGAGATACTATTTGAATCTTGCTTTATTTAAACTGACGGGAACTGTAGGAGGGGCCCTGGTGGCGCAGTGTTGGGCTGATAACAGAAAGGTGAGCGGTTCGAACTCACCACTAAGCGTGAGTCTGTTGTTATTAAGTACCATGGAGTCGGTTCCGACTCATAGTGACCCTGCACAGGGTTTCCGAGGATGCAAATCTTGACGTTAAGTGCCGTGCACAATGTGGCGCTGAGGGCTAATGCACTGGACTGCAAAGAGAGTCTAACGCATTAGCAGAACGCCTCATCTTTCTCCCGCGGAACCATTGGTAGTTTCGAACTGCTGACCTTGAAGTTGGCAGCCCGACTAGTAACCACTATGCTAGTCTAGTAGGCAGGAAAAGATGATGTAATCTACTTTGTAGGACTTCGGGTGTGGCACTGTAGCATAAGTACTGGACTATTACTGTAGGATAAGCACTGGACCCGCAAGGTCGGTGGTTCAAACTCACCAGCCGCTCCTTGGAAACCCGATACTGGGTTGCTATGAGTCAGAAACTACTGGACGTTACTTAACAACAACTTTTGTAAAGATTTACAGCCTGAAACCCTCTTTCCTGTAGGGTCGCTGTGAGTGGCAGTTGGTTTGGACCTAGAGGGAAAGTCTGGCAGGACATATTTTTAGTAACTGTGGGACAGTCTAGGGTTCCATCATTGTGGAGCTAAAATACTGTATGAGGAGACTTCAAAAAGTAGGGAAATTACACTTTTCCGCGGACTTTTGAAGTCCCCTTGTATGGTGGTGGTTGTTAGCCATGAAGTCAGTTCCAACTTATGGCAACCTGTGCAGGATTTCCAAGAAAGAATATTAAAAATACCATGGACAGCCCGAAGAACAAATAAATCTGTACAAAGAAGTACAGCCACATGCTCCTTAAAAGCCAGGATGGACACTTCATCTCTTGTTGTTAAGTGCCGGCGAGTGGATTCAGACTTACAGCTACCCTGTATGGGTTCCCAAGGAGCAGCTGGTGGGTTTGAACCCTCAACCTTATGGTTTGCAGTCCAGTGTTGATCCTACAGCACCACACCAGGAGTTATACTTCAGACGTATTTATAAGGAGGAACTGGTCCGTGGGGAAGGACATCATGCTTGGTGGAGTGGAGTATCAGTGAAAAAGAGGGAAACCCCCCCAAAGAGATGGACTGGCACAGTGGCAGTAACAGTGGCCTCAAGTTTAACAACCATTGTGATTATGACGCAGGCCCAGGAAGTGCTTCATTCTGTTGTGCAGAAGGTCACTGATAGTAGGAACCAACTCAACAGCAACAACATAGGGTTTTGGAGGCTGTAGATCTCTACAGGACTTTCTCCCCCTGCTTGAACTGCTGACAGCAATCAGCACCCAACATGTAACCCACTACACCACCAGAGAGCCTTCTCCTTGTGTACTGTTCTCATGTTAAATAGACTGCTAGATGTTGAACACTGTACAGAGATTGTTGTATTATGAGGTTTTTAGGGATTTCTCTTACTTACCATCTTCCTCATGTGTTCAGTTTTTACCCCACCTTGAGGGCTTATTTTTATGTTGCTTTTGCTTTCAACATGGATCACAAAGCATACATACCACAAACTGAAGAATATTTATTTTGTGTGTCCTTATCTGGAGTCAGTGTGACTCATTGCAACCCTGTAGGGTTTCCAAGAGCAGGCTGGTGGGTTTGAACTTATGAACTTGTTGCCAGTCCAGTACTTATCCTACAGTGTCACACTAGGGCTCTACTTGGTCGTCAATAAAAATAGAACCATTGCAATGATTGGATTTCTACTCATGGGAACCCCATGCGTTTGTTAGAGTAGATCAGTTCCATGAGATTTGGGGGAGAAATTTTAAACCCAACAAATTAAAATTAAAATTCAGTAGACAATCAGAAAGGGTTGGTTTAAGGTTCCTCCTTTTACTTTTAGGCGAGGAGGTGTTTACAGTGCATATTACCCACTGTGGTACAGTTGATTCCAGCTCAGTGATGTTATTAATCTCATACAGTTCAGATTAGGACTTCCCCATAAGGTTTGAAGGCTGTAAATCTTTAGGGAATCAAATCACCTTATTTTAGTCCTACAGAATGGTTATTAGGTTTGAACCCTGACCTTAGCAACCCAATGCTTAATCCATGATGCCACCAGGGTACATGTTAAACAAAGTACAAATTGTCATCCGTCAATCCCGATTCATAGTGACTCTATGCACGATTTTCAAAATTGTCCCACTAAGTGGGTTTGAACTGCTTACCTTTTGTTAGCAGCTCAGCGCTTAACCCATGTGCCACCAGAGAACATATTGCTGTTATTGTTGTTGTTAAGTGCCTTAGAGTCAGTTACGACTGATAGTGACCCTGTAAAGGGTTTCCGAGGAGCAGGTGGTGGGAACATATTGTTGTAGTTGTTGTTAAATGCCATTGAGTTGATTCCAACTCATAGCGACCCTGTATAGGGTTTCCAAGGAGCAGCTGCTGAGCTTGAACCACCGACCTTGCAGTTCAAATGACTTTGCAGTCTAACGCATTAGCCCATAGCGCCACATTGTGTACGGCACTTAACATCAACAACAACAACAGGGTGTGCTGGGAAGACTAACACAGGTGAAGTGAAAGCTATCCAAAACAAGTACTAAAGTACAGAGCAGGGAAGTCTCTGTTAGCAAGGTGATAAGGAGAAAGAAAGCATTTGGAGCTAAGGAGTATAGTGTAAGCATTGTTGTTAAGTGCCATTGAGTTGGTTCTGACCCATAGCAACCCTATATGGGGTTTCCAAGGAGCAGCTGGTGAGCTTGAACCACCAACCTTGCAGTTCAAACCGACTTTGTTGTCCAGCTCATTAACCCACAGCGCCATACAAGGCCCCCAGTGTAAGCATAGATAACTAATAAATTATTCTTGTTTGTGTGAAAGTGAATAAATGAATGTGAGGAGCAGAGGAGGGTTGGTGGAGAGGAGAGAGGAGATTTCAGTGTGTAACAGGAAGAAAGGGTGCCTGAGTAGCCCAAACTACCTGTGCCGGATTCCTAACGTAGAGGCTGAGTGACAGCTTGAACCTAAGCATTGGTACTGTGGAAGAAAGATCTGGTTATCCTCTTTCATAAAGATTACAGCCAAGCAAACCCTATTTTGTAACCCATGGGGTCTCTATTAATCAAAATTCACCCTAACAAGAAGTTTGGATTTTAGTTGAAAGAGGGGAGGTTCCTAGCAGGAGAGGTTTGTAAGAGTAAGCTGAGTTGCTCCTAGACTAAGATGTTGACTCTGACAAAAGAAGGAAAGGCTAAAGCATATTTTTTTAAGGTAAAATTAATTGTAGTTGGATAGAGGTGAATGAGAGAGCCCAGTAAAGGAGACTATGAAGTTTTGCAGCCTAAGTGATGAGAACTTGGGTGCCAAGGATAAAGGAGCTACTTTAAAAGAACCCATGTTATGATAAAACTTCTGTCCTGGTGTAGGACAACACATTCTGCAAGACCATGTCATAACTGTAACACGACACTCTAAATCTGTGGTATTCACAGGTTGTACCTGATTTCTGGGTAGCCAGGATGCTATTAGAAAAAGAGTACCAATAACTATTATGGATTACTCCAAGCAGAGCCTGGAGTACTGGTTACTACATGGAAGGTAGCTTTTATTACTTACAAGAATCAGATAGTAGTACTTCTGACAGGATGGTGGACTAGGGAAACATGCTTTACAGACTCTCTACAACAAAGATTGTTGTTGTTAAGTGCTGTCGAGTTGATTCTGACCCATAGCTACCCTGTTTAGGGTTTCCAAGGAGATGCTGGTGAGCTTGAACCGCCAACCTCATGGTTCAAACCCACTTTGCCATCCCATGTTTTAACTCACAGAGTCACACTAGGACTCCACAATAAAGATACAAGTGACCAGATGAAACCAATACAGATGAAAATCCTGAAACCCTTAAACGTAGAGGAAAGGTTGGAGAAGTGGATTGAGTGCTTGCTAGGAGGAGAAGCTGGGAGGGACACAAAACAAACCTCCATAAATTTTCAAATATCAAAATACTACAAAGCATCTTCTCAGACCACAATGCTATCAAATTAGAAATCAACAGTAGGAAGACCAAGGAAATCAAGTCAGATACATGGAAACTGAATAACACCCTGCTGAAAAGTGACTGGGTAGTAGAAGAAATTAAAAGTGAACTCACAAAGTTCCTAGAAACAAATGGGAATGAAACACAACAAACCAAATCTTTGGCCTAGATCCAAAGTAGTATCCAATCTGTCTGGGTGGGGCTGATGAAAGGAGATGGGGATAGGTCCCTTGTGGTACAATGGTAAATAATTGTTATCAGGATTGACTGTAAGGGTTGGAAATGTAAAGGTGGACGTTTTGTAGCAAAAGGAGGGAGTGATTAACTTTGCAGTCCAGTTGCTGAGGTCACTGGAACCATCAAGGGAGAAGAGCAGAGAGTGGGACCCTACCCAGAGAAGCAGTGATGCCAGAGATGGAGGCAGAGACGACGTGGAGAGATGGAACAGCTGGGAACTTTAGACCCAGAGAGGGAGAGTGGCTGTGTGCTGAGCACTGGGAGCGGGGGCAGGCTTGCAGGATATACCCTTTGGTTGTTTGATGATGTATGGAGGTGACTGTAACCATGGCAATGAAACGATATACAATAGGATGGATGTAAAGCTAATGTTCTCCCATGTAAACTATCATATAATTCATAATAAAAAAATTTTTTTAATGTGAACAAACCGCAAACAGTATACAACTCAGAAGAAAATTATCAAGACATATCATAAATAAGTGTAAACGTAGATGTTTTGTAGCAAAAGGAGGGGAGTGGTAAACTTTGCATTCCAGGAGTGG